CTCCATGAAGATCAGCTGCTGTCCCGCATCCTGGACTAGCATGATCTTCGTGTGAGGTTTGCCCACTTGATCAGCAAGCGCATGCTGCCGAGGGACATCCTGAAGCGCGCGGCTTCTAGCGCTCACGATGAGAGCGGCGGAATGTATTCATGATTCGTACCCCGTTCGGGCAAGAAGCCCCGGACTACTTATGAAGCTGCCGCCGCTTCTGTTCCCAGATTGCGACAGCCTTCGGGCAGTCAATCAGGAGCCGTTCAACCGGCTCCCACGAGTTCTCGGAGTGGGCATAACCCCTCCACTGAACGAGGAGCTGTCGCTTACTGCGACGCCGCTGCTCCTGGAGGATCCGCTCCACGTGGAAGTGGACTTCTCCATTTCGGTCAAGCAGGGGTGGAGATGCCCTCGTACGAGTAGAGTACTCGGCGCCTTCCGAGCGCTGCTCTCGTCCGAGTGCTTCTTCTGCGGGTCCGACACAGGGCCCTGAGGTTGACCGCCTCCGTCAACGTGTCCTCGGGCTTGAGATTGCACTTGGCCTTGGGACTGGCGGTGATGCTGTCGCCCAGGCCGGAAAATAAGGGCGAGCTCGCTCGTCTTGCGGGCCGCCTGGACATGTTGGAGCGAGAGGTCGCGAGCCTGACTCTGCGGGTGGATCGCCGGGCCTCTTCGTCCGATCTGGACGAGGCCTTTCGCAGGATTCGACGGATCGAGGCTCTGCTGCCACGTCCGGAGCCGCCTGCGGCACACTCCCAGACGTACGCGTATGGTGCGTACCCGGCGTACTCAGCGTACTCGGCGTATGGCGCCGGGGTCCGTTCGTACGGAGCCCCTCCGGCGTACGGTCCTGACCGCAGCCTTGCCGCTCCGACCGAGGCTTGGGTGCCTGCTCCGACGCCCGCGTCGACGTCTGTGACCGGCCCTCGCTTCGAGGAGCTGGGTCAAGGTGGGTCTGCGAGTCAGCAACCCCCTGCGGATCAAAGTATCGCTTAAGACGTCCAACATAGAACGTCGGGTGCGTCATCATTGGCTTTGGCAGGTCGATGGTGTACGACGCACCATGTCTGGCCAGAACTGCAAATGGTCCGATGAAGCGGTGCTTCAGCTTGCTGCTGCCGACAGAGCTGACAGTGTCAACAAGTAGGTTCCTCGTGTCTAGCAACACTAAGTCCCCCACCTTATATATACTTAAGTTTCCTCTTCCAAGTTTGTCGGAGTACTCCTTTTGTTTATCTTGGGCCGCTGCCATGGCATCGCGGACCCTGCTGACAACGCTCAGCTTAATATCCATAAAGGATTGCACTTGTTTCCGCAGCGAAACTGGTCTCACATCCGAGACCTGGGAGAAAAGGGCTTTCCGAGCCTCTCCCCACTTAGAATAGAGGAGTCAGTGTTTCTCGAAGAGTGAGAGGCACTCTGGGGTGACGGGAGCCGTTCAAGTAGAACGGCGTGAACCCCGTGGACGCGTGCACCGCGTTGTTGAGCGCAAGCTCAACGACTGGAAGCTGCGTCGAACACGTACGTGGTGCTGCCGCGCACACACTGCGCAGAGTGTCCTCGAGCACTCAATTGACGCGTTCTGTCTGACCGTCTGTCTGCGGATGGTCTGCAGTGGACATCTGCAGACGAGTTCCCAGTAAAGGGAACAGAGTTTTCCAAATCGCAGCAGTGAACCGCGGGTCTCGGTCCGAGACAATCGTCTCCGGGAGATCGTGATAGCGGAGCACGCCATCGACGAACAACCTTGCGGTTTGTTCGCCCGTAATAGTGACGGGAACCGGAGCAAGATGTACCATCTTGCTCAGCCGACACACGAACACCAAAATTCCGGTGTTGCCGTGTCCGTCGGCGGGAAGCCCAAAGATGAAGTCAAGACTCATCGACTTCCAACGGTCAGCCGGTACGGGCAGGCTCTGTAGTGGAGCCGAAGAGTGCCCTGCGGGTTTGATCCGCTGACATGTTTCGCATGTCTTAACGTACCAGGCGACCCACTTGTACATGTGGGTCCACCAGAAGGACTGAGAGACCGACAGAAAGGTCTTCTCGCGGCCCAAGTGGCCGCTGGAGGGCGCGTCGTGCGCCTCCGCGAGGATATCAAACTTCAGATCCTCGTCGTTGGGTACGACCACCCGTGGAGGATCATTGGGCTCCACCCGGAAATAGAGGAGGCCATCCTTCAACTCATATCGGTGGAGCCGTGAGCGCTGTCGCGACGAGAGCCAGTCGGACTTCGCGCTCGCTCCTGCCGTGAGGAACTTGACGATAGGCGCGACAGCGTTATCGTTCCGATACGCCATGCGTATCCGATCATATAGATCCGTTGTCACCCGCGTGATGTGGGCCAACGCATAGTCAGGACGCCGGGAGAGGGCGTCCGCAAGCACGTTGAGCTTGCCCGGCTTGTATTCGACGCGGAAGTTGTATTCCGCGAAGAAAGACAGCCACCTCGCCATCCTTTGGGAGAGGTGAGGCGAGTTAGTCGCCGTCCTCAAGGACGCGTGGTCTGTGTAGATCACAAAGAGCCTAGAGCCCAGAAGGTGAACATGAAACTTCACAAGGGCATATTTCATTGCCAGTAGCTCCTTGTCGTGGACAGGGTAGTTCCGCTCGGCGGCTTTGAGCTGCCTGGACTGGAACGAGATGACTCGTTCGTGTCCAGCCGTGTCGGCCTGCAGCAATGCACATCCGATGGCGTAATCGGAGGCGTCGCAGACGACGCTAAACGGCTTCGTCTCGTCCGGCAGGGCCAGGACAGGGGCCTCTTAGAGACTGACCTTGATGCTGTCAAAAGCATCCTGGTGCTCTTACTCCTAGCGCCAGTCGACGTCCTTCTGAAGGAGGCTCGACAAAGGCTTAGCGAAGCCCGCGTACCCTGCGCTGTACTTGTGAAGGTAGTTGGCCAAGCCCAACCACTTTCGAAGATCCTTCTGGGATCGGGGCGTCGGCCATGCTGCTATGGCCTCGCCTTGTCTGGGTCAGACCGAACGCCCAAGTTGCTTACGAAGCAGCCGAGAACCTTGATATCTGGTGACACGAAGACGCACTTGTCGATGTTGGTGTAGAGCTTGTTCGCTCGCATCATGTCCAACACTCGACGGAGGTGTCCTATATGCACCTCCATGGCCGTCTTGTCTCCCTCGGCACGGCTATGGACGAATATGTCGTCATAGTACGTCTGTACGAAGGTACGCAAAGGGCGGGACAATTGCGTCACCAGGCGATTGAACGTCGCCGGGGCGTTAGACAAGCCCTGCGGCATGACGAACCACTCCCAAAGCATGCCGCTTGGAGTGCTCACCGCGGTGAG